TGCTTGAGCAATTGCTTGAGCACGGACTGTGAATACCGGCCTCAGTTTCTCTCTGCTTGAGCAATTGCTTGAGCACGGACTGTGAATACCGGCCATAGTCAAAGAGATGGAGGCACCCTCTATCTAATATCCATAAACAAAAAGAGTAAGGTTACGTGCCGCGACCATCGAGTTTCCTATCTGAAACGCGGTAATTATGGTAACCAATTGGATATTGGTATTGGTGTTGCAGTGCAGCAGTATGTATATAGCATGATGGATCATGGCGCCACGGAGTTGAAGAATATATTTTTAATAAGATTTAAAGTTAATTTTCGCGTGAAGCTGATATCCAAATAATTTTTCAAATGGAAACCCGAGCGAATGACGTGTTAACGACTGTCCCGTTAGCAACGATCAAGGAGGAGCCAGTCGAGCAAACTGGCGGCAAACAGGACGTACAACAGTCTCAAGTCCAGGATGAGGAATTCGAACAGCGTATCGAGTGCACGACCGAGGGACAGGAGACCGAGGCGCGCACGTCCCTTTCGAAATGCATCTTCTGCGGAAAGTTGTTCACTTTCGGCGATGATCCTAAGCTCCTCGAATGTTTACACGCAGCTTGCTCGACGTGTGTCAATAGCAAACTAAACGATCACAATACCTCCGTTGACGTAGATGTATTGTGTAAGATAATATTTTTATTAACACAACTTCTGTTGATAGTGTAAGTTTTATGATAAAATAATGTACACATGTGCTTTTCAGTGGAGAGTAATGTGATTGCTTGTCAGATATGTAATGTTACGACACAGGCAGAGAATTTGATCGAGAACAGATTCCTTTCTAAGTTTATAGAAGAAGATAATAGTCCTGGTACTGACGATGAATCCAAGGAAACAGAAGAGGAAAAGAAATGTACCAGCTGCCATGATAATGCTACTGCCACAAGCTGGTGTGTGGAATGTGAAGAATTCATCTGTCAGAATTGTGTTATGGTAAGTTGATACAAGGAAAACAGGGTTTGAAAGTATGAGGAGAAATGTTTATTGTGAACATTATACTATTTTTAAGGCCCATCAAAGATTGAAGATAACAAAAGATCACACAATAAAGCCAAAGGATGAAGTGGCCAATGATAGAGATAACGTTAAAAAGAATGAGAAGAAGATACCTGGCTATTTATTTTGTACGATTCACTCGCACGAGCAATTGTCCTTATTTTGTCAAACGTGCGATAAACTTACTTGTAGGGATTGTCAGTTGAGCGAACATAGAGATCATAAGTACAAATTCATTCATGAGATTGCTGCCGAAACGCGTACATCTGTATCGACTTTACTTAAAGAAGTGAGGTAATTTTATAAATTTCATTCCTTTAAGGATAAAAATTATTCTGTGATAAACGTTTGTATTGACGTACATTAAAATATTTTTTAAGTTACAAACGAGTTTTATTAAAAAGCGCGATGAAAGTTATAGAAGATAGACAGGTTCTCATCCTAGAGAAGAAGAAATCTTTAATACAAGATATAACGCAAATGGTGGTGCAGTAAGTATTCACGAATTTCATACGAGAAACTGAAATAACAAAATGCTTTAATACATGTAACATCTTTTACGCAGGTTAACGAACGCGATTAATACGCGAGGAAAGCAATTAATTATGCGGTTAACCGAAGTTTGCGATCAAAAGCAGAACACATTGAATGAGAAGAAAGTTGCTTTAGATCAATTATCCAAACTTACGGACCACTGCATACAATTTGTAACTCATGCCTTAAAAAAGGGTTCGGATATGGAACTACTTTATAGCAAAAAGTATGAACTTCCAAAATTCTGTTTAAAAATATATCCAAAATGTAAATATTTCTTATGATATTTTTGCAGATCTGTTACGAGTCATTTACAGAGGAT